TACTAAAACTTACAAAAACAAATTCTAACCAGGTGTGGTGGCTCCATGCCTGCGTAACCCCAGATACTTGGGAGGGCTGGGGCAGGAGAATTGCTTTGAACCTTGGGAGGCGGAGGTTGCCAGTGAGCCTGAGATTGTGCCCACTGCACTCCAGCCTGGGTGACGCAGAGCAAGCCTCCATCTCAAAAAAAAAAAAAGAATCCAGATCATGTTCTGAAAAACTCCATTTGGAGATAGAGAGAGAGGAGGAAGAGGAAGAGTTGTCAAAGAGAGGTCAAAAAAGGCCGTGGGTCTTTTTTGTCACGAAGAATGGAACCCTGCAAGCTGAGAGATGGGAATGTTTCCAGAAATGGGTCCTTTCATCTTTGGGGCCCTAGGACTTGGGGGTTTGGGGGCGGGGGCGCTAGCACAGTGACTCCCTGCAGAGCCAGCCCTACACTGTCAAGGGTACCCTGGTGCTTCTCCCCTCACCCTTATGTGCTCTGCCCTGGCTCCCGGCCTGGGTATGTGTGGACCTTTCCAGAGAGATATTTTCCAATCTCTGCATTGAGCATCATTCTACCTCACCCACCCTAGGTCACCCTGACAGCTTCTCTGGGGACACTGAACACCCTTGCTGACGTCCCAGACAGTGTGGTGCAGGGCAGAGGCCAGAAGCAGCTTACCATTTCTACCAGTGACCGGAAGCTGTTGAACTTCATCCTTCAGCACGTGACATACACCAGCACGGGGTACCAGCACCAGAAGGTGGACATAGGTGAGAGCCTGTCCTTGGGGTGCAAAATGCTTAGGGATCCAGAAGATCCCTCTGGGCCCTCTCAAAGTCATCCTCCTTCAAGAAGCCTGCCTGTTTTTGTGTGTTTTTTGTTTATTTGTTTGAGACAGAGTCTCACTCTGCCACCCAGGCTGGAGTGCAGTGTTGTGATCTCTGCTCACTGCAACCTCCACCTCCCGGGTTCAAGCGATTCTCCTGCCTCAACCTCCCAAGTAGCTGGGATTACAGGCGCCTGCCACCATGCCCGGCTAATTTTTGTATTTTGAATAGAGACAGGGTTTCACCATCTTGGCCAGGCTGGTCTTGAACTCCTGACCTCATGATCTCCCTGCCTCGGCCTCCCAAAGTGCTGGCATTACAGGCGTGAACTACTGCACCCAGCCTGCCTGCCTGCTTTTAAGATTCCTGCCCTCTTTCTTCTTTCTAACCCCAGACACATAACTTCATAATTGCAGTACCCAGTACTATCCCCACATTGCCATTGACCCCATAGAGCCACTCGAGGAGAGAACAAATCATGCTGTGCGCGTTGCACATGGTGAGAACCATCCAGTTCTGCCCCCAGTCCTCTGCTGCTCTCAGAGCTGAAGATTTCCACTGCAGTAGAGGAGGGAGCCAGCCTGTGCCTCAGCATCTTGTCTTGGGCACTAATAGGAAAGAACTGGGAGAACTCCCCGTTCCAAGGGCAGTGGCTTTGTCTCTCCCCTCCTTCCCTCCCACCAAGAAGTGCCAGGGAGAGCAATCCCTGCCACTCTCAGGGCAGCCTGAGTTTCTTTCTGGATGAGTTAAAAGCACCCTTTTCTCTTTTGACCAGATACACAGGATGCATTCCCAGGACACCAACGGAAAAAAATGTAACAGGGTTACAGATGATATTCATGGCCACTAGCTAAAGAGTTAATTCTCCCCACCTTCAGATTTTCAAACATTCCTCTTCACAAGATTACCCTGTGAGGCAAAATAGGGTGGGTATTGTTATCCTGGTTTTGCAGACAGAGAAAAAAGTCAGATAGGAAATGGTAAAGTCAAACTTAGCCCAGACCCTCTGGTTTCAAGCCCACTCCACCCTACCACATCCTCACAGGGGAAGGAATGTGAACTTAGGAGTCATTGAGCACGTTGCCCCAGAGACACAGCAAGGCGGAAGCCTGAATGCCAGATACTCTATGGGGTCCTTAATCTCATCCCAGCCAGGACTCTCCCCACCAAACCTGCACTCGCCTGTCATGGTGGCTTCCCGGGGCGGCATGGAGTTTGAGCCAGACATGATACTGCCTGTGCCATGACCTTATTTCTCCCTCCAGTGAGTCTGGAGTCCCGGTCCTCAGTGGCCAAGTTTCCAGTGACCATCCGCCATCCTGTCATACCCAAGCTATACGACCCTGGACCAGGTAAGGCCCTTGTCCATGGTGGCACCCTGTGAAGCTATTGGTGAACTTCAGAAGGGAGCTGCCCTCTTGAGACGGAGATAATTGATCAAAATGACAGCTCTCGGATGATGCTCCTGACAGCTTTGTTGGGAGGAAAAAACTTCGAGGACCAGTTCCATAAAAATTGCTTAATGAATTTAACACTTATTTTGTGGTTTGTGCTAGTTTTGGGAAAGAAAACCAATGAGTACATTACATGTAGTAGTAAAATAATAAAAGAGTGTACTGAATCAATGAAATCCAGA